GTTTTACTGAGGAATTCAGGAAGAATCAAGAGGCGACTGCAGCTTCTGCTGAGAAAGTGACAGGAATATTATTGCTGCTTTTAATTTCAATTCCTCTCTAGACTTTCACCAAAAATGTATTTGGACATTTAGTTGAGATATTCTTATTTATATTCAGTTTTAATGAACAAAAATACATTCTGTCCTTTAAGGTTTTAACTTGAGGATTTCTGTCCTGATGGCAAAACGATGAACAGCAGCGATGAACCGACATCAGCTGCACAAGTCCATGTAATATCCTTCTGATGTAGAAAACAATTTTTGAGTTGCAGTGTATCCATTAAATAAATGCAATTAAAATTAGTAATACGTATATATATATATATATATATATATATATATATATAGCAGACTGGATAGCTCAATACATAAGGCATCAGTATATCACCCGAGAGGGCAGGGTTCGAATCCAGTCTGGGTCCTTAGGCAAGACCCTTCAAGCTACTGCCTACCTCATACCATGAGAGATACTAAGTTGCATAACATGCCGGCTCAGACGTCGCCCGGCCAAACAAGGTCTGCGTCAGGTGTTGGGGAACCAGAGCACCTTGATGACAAATGGGCTACTGGAACAAGACGGAAATGGGCGAGAGATGAAAATGTGGATCTGTTGGAATGCTACTACTCAAGTAACCCTAGTGAGAGAGGTTACATGCAAAGACTGGGGAAGGAATGGTTACTTCGACATCCCCAGTCAACACTAAGCGCTAAACAACTAGTAGCTCAGTGTTCCAACATCTGCAAACGGCAACTGCTATCACAACTTGAGATTGACGAGATACAACACAAATGCTACGGCAAAAGGGAGGAACCCGGATGTCAGGACTGTGGGGACTTAACTACAAGTCCCCACCCAGTGAGGGGATACACGGCCCCAATGAGCGAAACAGAGCTGAACGAGACAGCTGCTGACCTGAGAGAGAGAATCATGACCCGAATGACAACCAGGCCTCCCCGGCGCCAATTACAACGGCTGAGTGAAGTACCATCTGAAAGTCTCATTGAGAATGTGAATGCAGCATTGAGAACGATCCCTACCAACACCATAACAGAAACCAATGAGCTGATCTACAACTCAGCATCAGTGATCCTTGAGATACTTGGCTATAAGAGCAACCATGAGACCCAATACCACCATGGAAAAGACGGTTAGAGGCTAAAATCAAGGTAACAAGGAGGGAAGTGAGCCAACTGTCAGAGCTCCACAAGGGTGCAATGAAAGACCAGTACCCAGAAAGTACAGGCAGATGCCCATACCTGAAGCACTCGAGACTGCCAAACAGAGGCTCCAAGCCTTGTCCAGCCGCCTAAAGAGATACACAAGGGAGAATGAATCCAGAAGGATTAACCGGCTCTTCTCCACTCAACCAGCTAAGGTGTACTCTCAATGGCAGGGTAACAATAACAACAGAGCAGACCCACCAAGGCTGGAGACGGAACAATACTGGAAAGGCATATGGGAAAGGGAGGCGTCCCACAACAGCAATGCACAGTGGCTGATCTCTCTACGAGAGGACCACAGCAACCTCCCTGAGCAAGCCCCGGTAACCATCACTGTGACAGATGTCCAAGAAAGAGTCTCAGGTATGAAAAACTGGACAGCACCAGGGCCTGACATGATCCATGCCTACTGGCTAAAGAAACTCACTGCTCTCCATGAGCGAATGGCAGCCCAAATGAACCAGCTGCTACAAAGTGGGACTCACCCTGAATGGTTAACTGAAGGGCGGACAATCCTAATCCAGAAGGATCCATCAAAGGGTCCAGTCCCACCCAACTACCGACCAATAACCTGCCTCTCCACAACCTGGAAGCTCATGTCAGGCATCATAGCGGCCAAGATAAGCAAAACACATGGATAAACACATGAGCACGGCACAGAAGGGTATCGGTGTAAATACCAGAGGAGCCAAACACCAACTCTCGTAGACCGCACAGTTGCCCGAGACTGCAAAACCCGACACACCAACCTGTGCATGGCTTGGATTGATTACAAGAAAGCCTATGACTCAATGCCGCATACTTGGATCATTGAATGCTTAGAGATGTATAACATCAACAGGACTCTGAGAGCCTTCATTGCAAACTCGATGAGGCTGTGGAAAACCACCCTTGAAGCCAACTGCAAACCACTTGCACAAGTGTCCATCAAATGTGGCATATACCAAGGAGATGCTCTGTCCCCGCTACTGTTCTGCATAGGCCTGAACCCCCTCAGCCAAGTTATCAACAAGACTGGCTACGGATACAGACTCAAAAATGGGGCCAATATCAGTCACCTACTCTACATGGATGACATCAAGCTGTACGCCAAGTGTGAGCGAGACATCGACTCACTGATCCACACCACCAGGATCTACAGCACTGACATTGGAATGTCATTCGGACTAGAGAAATGTGGTCGGCTGGTCACAAAGAGGGGGAAGGTCATCCACACAGAAGGGGTCTCACTCCCAGAAGGAACAATAGCAGACATAGAGGACAGTTACAAGTACCTAGGTATACCACAAGCAAATGGCAACCTCGATGAGGTCACAAGGAAAGGAGCCACAGCTAAATACCTCCAACGAATAAGGCAAGTCCTGAGAAGCCAGCTCAATGGCAAGAACAAAATCCGTGCGATAAACAGCTATGCCTTGCCAGTAATCAGATACCCTGCTGGAATAATTAGCTGGCCAAAGGAGGAGATAAAAGCCACAGATATTAAGACCAGAAAGCTACTAACAATGCATGGAGGGTTCCATCCCAAATCCAGCACCCTGAGACTGTACACGAGCCGCAAGGAAGGAGGCAGAGGACTAGTGAGTGTGAGAACCACTGTCCAGGACGAAACAACTAAGATCCATAAATACATCAGGGACAAAGCCTCAACAGACAATGTGCTCAGTGAATGTCGCAGACAACAGGGAACGGAGGTTGAGGTGCCAGAGATACCATCATGGGAGGACAAACCCCTACATGGGATGTACCACCAGCAAATAACCCAAGTGGCTGATATCAGTAAATCCTACCAATGGCTGGAAAAAGCTGGACTCAAGGACAGCACAGAGGCCCTCATCCTGGCAGCCCAGGAACAGGCCCTAAACACCAGAGCAATAGAGGCCCAGATCTACCACACCAGACAAGACCCAAGGTGTAGGTTGTGCAAGGAGGCCCTGAGACAGTCCAGCACATCACAGCAGGGTGCAAGATACTGGCAGGGAAAGCGTACATGGAGCGACATAACCAAGTGGCAGGCATAGTGTACAGAAACATCTGTGCAGAATATGGACTGGAAACCCCGAGATCAAAGTGGGAAACACCCCCAAAGGTGGTGGAGAACGCCAGAGCTAAGATCCTGTGGGACTTCCAGATCCAGACAGACAAAATGGTAATGGCGAACCAACCAGACATTGTCGTAGTGGATAAACATCAGAGGAAAGCCGTTGTGGTAGATGTAGCAATACCAAGTGATTGCAACATCAGGAAAAAGGAGCACGAGAAACTAGAGAAATACCAGGGCCTCAGGGAGGAACTGGAGAGGGCCTGGAAGGTGAAGACCACAGTGGTGCCTGTGGTCATCGGTGCCCTCGGGGCAGTAACCCCCAAACTGGAGCAGTGGCTACAACAGATCCCAGGAACAACATCAGACATCTCAGTCCAGAAATGTGCAGTCCTTGGCACAGCCAAGATACTGCGCAGAACCCTCAAGCTCCCAGGCCTCTGGTAGAGGACCCGAGCTCAGAGGATAAGAACCACCCGCGGTGGGTGAGAAGGGAATTTTTTTATTTTATATATATATATATATATATATATCTAAACTTAAATGTAGACAGACCTCAATAGATAGATATAGGTATTAGATTATCCTGCTTAAAGCCCAACCTGTAACCAAAGACCAGAGGATGCATTTTAATGCTCAGTCTAATGGTTTTTAACATTTATGGAATTTAAACATAAAAATATTCTGACTGCGTCGCTCATCGGCGCACGGCCTCTAGATGACGTCACTAGATGGCGACATTGCTCCAACTGCTTCAAATCTGCTAATCTGGATTAGCCGATCTGAAAATACGGAATAATCATAGCAGGGTTTTAACAGAGACAAAATATTTGATTATAGAAAAATAAAACCCAGCATTTAGATTTTTATCATTTGTTCCAACTGCTAATTTACATTAGTTACAAATAAAACTTAAAACAACAATGTATTTTTAAGATCCTGATCTCAAAAATAAATGTGTAGTTTTATTGCACAAGATCAATTTTCAAAAACATATTTTAAACAGAAATGTCAGACTGAAAAGTTTTCATTTGTGCTCAAATTCTGTGTGACGTTACACAATCAGCCTAAATGTTGTAGTCTTCAGGAAGTCTGAGTCGCTTTGAAAGCTTCATCTTCCTCTTGACGTTTCAAATTCTTTATAGAGCTAGGAAATTATTCCTTCACCATGGTTTCTTCATGAATCCTTTGAAGGATGCAGTTTTCCCAGCTGCATTTTAATAACACTTTTTCCTTCCACTTAACTTTCTATACTTAGATGAAGCTCTGTGAACAACCAGCTTCTTTGTAGCGACTTGTAGTGTCTTCTCTGTTTTGTGTCCCCAGGACATTTGTCAGAGTGAGACACTGTGAGTTTCTATATGTTCACCAGTTTGTTTTAATCATTTGCGTCACAACTGACTGCATGAAAAACATGCTAACATTTAAACAAGGCGTCTTCTTTTGTACATATTATTAGTGATGAACATCTGAGTATTTAACTGTGATTTACCATCTTTAATGTTGTTGTTAGCTTAAGAAATAAAATTGCTCTACTAAAGCCACACAGTGCTAATAAAGATTATTACCTTACATTATTTATCTGTAATGTAATCGTTATGAGACTGAAAATTTATTTCTGACAACACAGATGAGACACTTAAACTTCCCCTCCCCCAAAAAGTCAATTTTCTTAAAATGAAAGATAATTAAATCGAAGTTTGAGGTTTTAAATATTTAATAGTTTCTTCATCAAAATACTTAATTCAGTGAAAGCAAAGACCCATTAAAATCCCTGAGCAATATTAATAAAAATATACAAAAAAAGTACAAAATGGAACAGAAAAACATGTTAAAATCCTAAAAACATATCCATATATTATATTTTACTGTAGAAGTCTTTGCACATCATGTATATTCCTGTTTTCAGTTCACATCAGACAGCATGATTTTAAAAATCTGTTTCATTCCAGCTTCATTCTAATTATTCAGTTTTTTTGTTTTAGTGCATCGTCAGATTAAAACTTTGATCCAAAATAATAAATATTAAAGCTGAAGGAACCAGAAAGTCCATTGATCTGGTTCAAAGCTGAGGTTCACATATCAACCTGAGGCGTAATGCTGCAACTGTTCAACTTACTGCATCATTTAGTAAAAATCTGTAACAATTATAAAGTGAATTGTTTTCCTTCTTATGAAAGTCTGTAGCTTTATGTCTATATCTAAATATAAAAATAATGTGCAAAGTATTTATAGTTTGGTTAAAAATTCTATAAAAGGTAGAAAAAGGCAGAAGATAGTAAGAAATACTTCAGGCTGGATCAGGAGGTCAAAGGTCTGCAGACATCTAGCAGCTTGACTGCTGTTTTGGATCTGGAAACAAAACAGAAATGTTTCTGGTTATTATTGACTAAATATTCATTCTAATAGTTAAAATCTGATATAAAGGATCCGCTGCTGATGGACTCAAACCTCTAAACTATTTCACCTCAATGAGATGAAGGTGGAGCATCAAACAGTAGAAATATGAGATTCACCTTACTGTTAAAAATGAGATTTCTTAAATCAGATTAAATTGTAAAGGTTCAATGTTTTTTCCCCTCATTTATCGGAGGTGAACTGAGCTAAAGCAGCCTGGTCTGTGAACAAGTTCTTCCTCGGAAACTATTAACTAGTTGCAGCAACTTTAGTCCAAGTGTTTAGAAGCAAACAGGAAATAAACTTACAGGAAGTGGTCATTTAAGCAACAGATCCATTTCTTGGTGTATTGATCGGTGCAGAATGTTTGCTGTACCAAACGACGCCGTTGGATCCATCAACTGGACTCTGAAGAACCAAAAGGTTCAGGGAAACAGAGATTAGTGTTCAGCTGATCTGATGTTACGAAGAGAAACTCTGAGACTGAAACGCTCACCTGGGGACTTCTGACGTTTCCGTGCCAACCAGGTGATGAGGAGGAGGAGAAGGACAGTGAAGAAGCAGCCCAGAGAAATGAAGACTCCGATCCTTCCTCCTGAAAGAAAACAGTTTCATTCTCCATCAGAAATGTAAAGTTAAGTTGCCTTAGTTTTATAAATAACACCCAGGTTTGATATGCTTTTATTTTGGTAATGGAAACGTTTCACATGTAAAGGTTAGCAGCAATACAGATAAAGGATATAAAGCAACTAAATTTTAGCTTCAACCAATAATAAAACAAGGTTTTGAAGTCACTTTAAATGTTCATGAAGAATCTGTGATTGGTTGAGTCAAAGCACTGATGGAGCAGCCAATGCATAACAGATGGTGTAAAGATTGTAATGTTATTTATTCTTGTTCTTTTAAGATGGTTGTTTTTGATGATGGCCTCATTAAACCATATAACTAAACACTGAAAGACAGATTTAAATCTAGACCTGTCATTACTAACTAGAAGTGATAAACGATAATATTGTTGTTTGAGACCATTTTCCAGCATTGTAACGGCTTAATAATGTAAAATCACATTCTCAAACTTTAAGTTGTAATTTAACAGAGGAAGTGGAAGACATGGAAATGATTGAGCTTGTTTTCAATAATCATGTGGTTAATTGATTTATTGGAACAGGACTATTTAAATCTGATACAAGTTGGAAATTTATATTAATTGATGTGTGATTGTTTGAAAATCAAAGAAGAAAACAGAAACTTACTTTGGTTATTTGGTTCAGATTCCGGTTTTGTTACAGCTGCAGTGGTGCCTGAAGAGAAACATAATTTTTGTTTTACAGAAATATTTCTGACTTTATCCAGAAAGCAGCTGGATTGTTTAATCATACTTCAGTTTTTTCTTAATCTGATCTAAGAGCTTCATCTGAAACTTCAACAAAAGGTCGAGAAGCAAAAGTCCACCATGTATCTCTGAAAATGTTCTGATTAGCGTCTGATCAGGTTGAATCCTGCTGCTCTGTTTGTTAAATGTTTAGTGCAGCGGTTTTCAAAGTGCTCTGGCGCCTCCCCTGGGGGGCGCCAGAGCACTTTAGGGGAGGCGCGGTGCGAGGGAAAAAATAAACCGAAGAAGAAGCTATCTGCTTGCTGTCTACTGATGTGAGAGAAAAAAAACGGACAAATTTTTAGTAAACCTGCTCATTCCCTTCACTTCAACCTATCTCTGTGAATGTGGGTTTTCTGCTCTCGCAATGATAAAAAGCAAATCCCGGTCAAGGCTGCTGGTTGAAAATGATCTGCGGTTATTCCGCTCCACAGTGCAACCCCGCATTAACCGGATTTGCGCATTAAAAGCACAAGCACATTGTCCCCACTAAAACGATGGTGAGCTGAACAGTAATGTTGCCAATTTAGTTAAAATCATACATAAAATGCGTTACACATGATTCAGGACCGTGGTAGAAAAAAAGGGGTGCGCATAGCGTGCGTAAATGTTTGTTCTTTGTAAGCCTCCGCTCTTTCATACAGCACGCTCTTTTAGCTCGAGATAAATTGTTTGTTTAAATTGTTTAGATGAGCCACAAAAAGAGCTCCACAATTTGTAACTGTTTAGGTTTTTGATTTATTTTTTAATTTTAAGGAAATGTGCAACATTTACAGATGTGTTCCAAAGATCTGATCAAAATGTTTTTGTTAAGATGTGAAAACACTGTTGGTATCTCAAACATGAAACTCAGAAGCTCAGATGTAACGTTTTTGAGAAAACGGTTGAAAAATGAGTTTGGGGTTCTTATTATTAGAAAAATGAAAAAAGGGCATATTTACCATACAAAGGCCCTGATAAAATAATTAAAATGGGAGAAAATGTTTTAAAATGTTCATGTTAAATTTTTATTCAGATAAAGTGTCATTTTAAAAGATGAGATGGTTCTAAGCATTAGGTGTTTTGTAGTGGCATTTGTTTGTGTGTGGGTTGATTATTGAGGGCATGGGGGGCGCAGGAGGCATTGTGCTCCTTGAAGGGGGCATCCTTTCATACTTTGAAAACCCTGTTTTAGTGAATTGTGTGAATGGACTGATACTCACTGATGGGTTCGGATCGAGGACAGTCTGGAACAGAAACACCAGAATTCAGGTCAACATGTCCTGACCCGTCCAACCAGCAGGAACATTCAGATATAAAAATGTGGATTTTCTTACCGATCTTGTTGAAGAAGAGTTTTCCATTTTCTCCCTCCATCTTTATCTCCTCACTGCCTGTCAGGTTCCATAAAACCAGGAGGACGGTTTCTGGTCTGGATGAGCCCCAGAGGCACACGGAGCTTAGAGGAGAAGATGGAGGAGAAGTCACAGCGACCCAGCGCTCCAGCTGACGTGTTTCGCTCCCATAAGTTCGTCATATCATGGTGTTTGTCGAAGACGAGGCTAATGTCTTTAGCCTCTGAGGAATTGGAGCTGAAGCAGGTGAAATCTGCCTGAAACACAAGAAACAACAGAATCCATGTGAAGATGTGGCAGAAGTAAAGGACAAACAGAATTAAAATAATAAAATAATGAAACTGGAAACAATAACAAGGCCTGAAATGGGAAAATATGTCAAATAAAAACAAGACAAAAGTTGTGTTTTTGAAGACTCAATTTATGTAAGAGTTATGTTTCTTTTATGTACATCATTAGATTATAAAATATTAGTTACCTTTCCTTGGATGCATAGTGTTACCAAAATCAGGAACCAGGACATTTTCCAAGAGTGAATCTTCATATTTTAGTGCCTGAGAAAAAAAAAAAGAAAGTGGTCAGTTCACATTCTAATAATGTTAAAATAATACACATTTTCTTAAAAATTAATTAATACTTATAGTTTTATTTGAGTAAATAACTGTTGGTTTATGTTTCTATGTTCACTATCCAGCTTTTTGGTCATTCATTGTCTCAGTATGGATGAAACACATTTGAACAATTTTGATTTAAATGTCAAACGAGAAAAAATGAGCCGTTAAATGAACTTTTTAGTTTGGTGAGGACGGCAGCAGGCTACGCTCTATATTTCTTTATCTTTTTAGTCCTGTAAAGCTTAATAAAATGTATTTCCATCTGTTTCACAAAACTGAATGTATACACATTTGCTAAATACTTTAAAAACAGTTTTCTGGAATTTACGAGCCCAGAAGACACATTACTTCCGGGTCCATTTCTTAATATATTTCCTCCCTTCATTCACAAACGAAGAGACCAAAATAATCCTTAAAGCAGTCGAACTAAATTAGATGTTATTCTGCACAATTTTGAATGCGTCAATTCATATTTTTGCCATGGAAGCTTGAGTCGTGTGCTAGCTTAGCTGAGAAGCTAGGTTAGCACTAAGCTAAAGTTGCCGGTGAACCGTGTTTTTAAATCGCCATTACAAAGCCGAATTTATTCCCATATAGTAAAAACTCTAAGTCAGCATAGACTAACCGGCTGATCTGTCAATTCAGCCTATTAATGTATTTAGCTTTAAAATCCACACGAACATTATCGAATAATTCGCTTTATTTCTGCAAATCAACTTACCTAACTGCGCTTTCACACAGCTCGAGTTTTCTTTTTTAGTTTATTGAAACGAAAAGGGTTAAACGTGAATTTAAAGGTTTAACTTTTCCACCAAATCGTAACAAAATAACCTGACAGCATTGAAGAAATTTAAGCATATAAAATCTTGCGGCTGGATCTCGATCTTAACTCGGTTAACTCGAAGGCACTGAACTGGCGAAGGGGAGCGTCAGGGAGGGCGAGTCAGATGAAGTTTGGCTTGTGTTGTCTTCCTTAAACGATGAAGAACAGTCGCTTCTTCATCGTTTTCTATTTTCTATGGCGGTTGACAAACACCTTCAGGTGCATTACCACCACCTTCCGGATTGGAGTATGAATTAGATGTTCAACTATTACGCTCTAGTCCTAAAATACTCGTTGCTATTTAAAAAAAAACCTAAAAATGCTGCTAGAAATGACGTCCTTTGATGATCTTTGATTCCCTTACATCTATTTTTTTACTTTGATTCTTAGTTAAATGTCTACTGTTTACCTCTCTTTCACGTGCATATGTATTACATTCTAAATATGTTCTACTATTTACATTTGTGCACAATAATTCCAACAACCTGTTCCTTGTTTATGGATTGTTTTTAAGAGTGTTATTTCATCTTGCATGGCCAAATCTCATCCTCAATTTATCTTTTTTGTTTTTAATTATGTTACATTTTCTAAATTCTCCAGATAGTATAATTCTCCATTATACTATTCTGATTCCTTGCCTTTGTACTCAAGTTGCTATTTGTCCCAGAATGTTTTCTTTCTGCTGAGTAATTACAACAGTCCAAAATGACGTGGTTCAGTTTCCATACTTTGACAAAACTCAGGTCCAATATCATGCTTCCCTAATAAATAAAGTATTGTTAAGGTTGATCTTGTTAAAATGGATTTCTCCTTTCTATTCTGTCCACTCCTGGCTCTGCATTGGTCTTTCTAACTGAAAACTTAAAACCACAGAACTGAGGTGCAATAAATTTTATGTTTTCCATAATGCCCCGCCATCAGAAAACAAATATCTCGTAATATCTCTACAGTCAAATACGTCATTCTCATTATTGAACCATGAGAGTTACGTCAGCGTTTTTAAATATAGTGACGTGGTGATGAGCACCAAGCGCCGCCTAGCGTCACTTTGCTTTCCTGCAAGTATTTAAAGAAAAACAAGAAGTACGGAAAAAAAACAGGAACCAAAAGGAACCAAGATCCGACTAATCTAGAAAGGAAAGTCTAGATGACTGAGGGTTAGAGAAGACACTTGGTACTATCTGGACCAACCAATAGATTTTTTAAAACTTGATGTTTTCAAAAATACATTTTCAACAATTATCTAAAACAGCAACTCACCATTTTCCTTTTCTTGCTGTTGGCCTGTACTCAATGAGCCTTTCAGAAAACTTTTGTCTTTCACAAAAGGAAAGAGTAAAAACAGACCCAACACGAAGAATGGCTCATCTTTCAAATGTAGAGTTGTGAAAAAAATAATAAAGAATAAAAGCCTGGTTCTTTATATATCTTCCAGATTTAAACCAGAAAGTCATCTTCCTAAATCCAGTTAGAACCGAACTACAGCAAGAACACGATAAAAACATTTTTAGATAAAAAATAAATAAATAAATCCTCCTCAGTAAATGTTATTTTATTCTCTTTCACAACTCCTGTTTGAACCAGCAGTTTCCCCTGTGTCTGCCTATATAAAGTGGTAGTGGGAGGCCACTCCCCTTCACACATCAGCTCCACCCTCCTTCTATCAGAAGAACTGAAAATGCATGTGTGAGCGTCTTCTCATGCAGAGACTTGTCCTCTGTACTGACGAAACATGTTTTATCCCTTAAAAGATCGGACAACATCAGCAATTCTAAAGGATTTTTATTCAGCTGGACTGAGAATAAAAATGGCTGAAAGGCTTCTTAAGGTCACAGACCCCTGATTCAGACTGAGGAACACTTTAATAAATATTTAATTTTATATGTTAGTCTCATCATGCTTTGCATTCCTCTGTATTAAGATGTTGCTGCCCTTATTATGTAGTTCTCAGTCATGCTTCAGGGCAGCAGTATAAAGAAATGTCGATTCAAAGTCACCAGGGTGACACATTTACAGAAACACCAACGGAAAATGGGTGGAGTTTACCTTTCTTTGGTTAGCAGACTGCAATGAAAGCTGAGTGGGCACAGTAAAAACCATAATCTTTCTTGATCTGAGCAGATAGAAACAACTCCAGTTATGACACAGCTCTACATCATTCTGACTCAGAACCATCCAAGCACTAAACAGATGCTTAAAACAGAAAGATGTGTCAAAACTTTATCCAGCTAAACAGAAAAAAACTGAAGTTATTATCGAGCCTAAATACAAATGATCTAGAGTTGTAGATCTAAAGTTATAGATCTAGAGTTAACTTCAGTTATTCCAGCTGGAAACTAGAGATCAAGCTGACCTCTGACCTGAGCCTTCAGAGCTACATAAAGCCAGGTCCAATGTGTATTGATGACTTTTCAAAAATTGTAAAAACAAATAAATAAAGTATGAAGAAAATAGACTGTTAAATAGTAAAAATATAATTAAACTACTTTTCTAAAGCATTTTACAGCAACAAACAATTGATATAACAGCCTTTATTCTTTATAATCACTTCTCTTCTGATCAAAGTTGCTTTTTCATTTGCTTTATTTCCAAACCTAAAGCTGGAGACACTTGTGAGTTTAGGAGCATTGGAGCTCCATAAATTATTTTTAGGCAAAAATTAAAAATTTGTTTGTAATTATGTTTAAATTTTCTGATCATTTTAGTTTTTAATCATGGGCATATGTGAGGGAAAATATTTCACTACAGGAGAAGAATACTAAAACAAAGATGGTGGTGAACTTATTTTAACTTTTCAACTGAAATGAGGAAGAGAGCCGTGTGGGAAGGCTGTTCTCATTACAGAAAACTGGTCTATAAATAAACACAGCAAATACTTATTCTCAGGACTTGTAAATGTAAAGAATAACATAATAATTTACTAAGCTGAAGATAGCATTTTGTCTTCAAACAAACTGCTGAGGACAGAAAACTTTCTTCTGAAGACAGTTTTCTGACTCCAAAGTTGATAAAATGTTTCGCTCTTCTCTAGAACTGCAGATAAGGCAGAGTTAGAAATGTTTCAGGAAGGAGAGCCTGATCGTTTCCTCTTGTTGCTCAACTGCCTTGTGGGGGAAGGGCCAGATTGAACCGGCCCTTCCCCCACTGGAGGATAAAACTGGCTTTCAGGATTATAAAGGTTGCAGTTAGCTGGTTCAGACTGAAGAAGAAGGTAATAAATATGTTAAGTCCCACAGATTAGCCTCCCATTCTGCTCTGCTTCAAGGTGTTGCTGTCCTCATCATTTTGTTCTTAGTGTTTCAGTCAAATGTGTTTTACTCTGGTGGAGACAAAACCCCCAGAGGATCAGAGTTTCCAAAACGTTTCCGGAAGAACGAGAACCGAACAGTAGCTCTGTGTCATCAGATCTCTGTGAGAGAAATAGGAATGCAGAACGGATCTGATGAACTCTTTCATTATTCAGACCGAAACAACTCAGGTTCTGACTTGTTTTGGTCCAAAATCTGTTTTCAAAGAAAGAAGTGAAAAGAATGTGAAACATGAGACAGGCAAAAAACAATTTTATAGCGTTAAATCTTTCAATTTAACTTTAAACTATTTATGATTCCTATCAGGCTTTTGTTTCTGAGTTTCTGAGCTACTTGATGGTATTGTAGTTTGGTAAAATAATATTTTATTAAAGGAAATAAAACAACTCTAACTACCTTTCACACCTCAGAAATGATAAATAACCAGATAAATTGCGCAAGAAAATATACTAGGCTGCAACTTAGGTTTTGATGTTCAGATTCCTGTTTAAGAGGGAATATTTCATCATCCAGTCAAAGCAAAGAATCAAACTGAGAAGCTCAGTTGAGGGAGTGGACAAGCTGAGCAGGGAGGACAGAGAGAAACATGCATTAGTCAGACGAAGAGCTGGTCTATAACCGCAGGCGTTGACTTGAGTCTGAGTCAGATGGCCACATGCCTGTTGAACTGGCTTCATGCCAGTTCAACAGGCTTCAAGTTTCCCTTCCCCCACACTGTTGATCTGGCGTGAAGCCAGAAGCCAGTTCAACACCCAGTGTGGGGGAAGGGAAACTTTCAGTTCTGAACTGTGAAAACCCTGTAAAGTCACAGCAGGTCAAACTGCCAATGTTTCACTTCCTGAAGCAGACAGAAATACAAATATGCAAACACAAGTTTTAAAATATCATAGAGCTATAAACAGAGTTTATAAGACGATCACGTGACTTCGCCGCTAAAGCAGCTGCTCTATGGGAGTAGTTAGATGCGTTCTCCAGTAGGGGCGCTGTTTAAAACTGAGTGGCTGAATTATTTTCCCGCGAAATTCCTTTTCACCTCACTTCCCCCGAACCTCCGACTGAAGCTGGTTGTTAGTGAAACTACAGGGTCAGTCCAGATTGCCTCCCGAACCGAGCAGAAGGACGGTTTTTATCTCTCCGCTCCGGTTCCGAGCCGCCAGCTGAACCGAGAGGATGAAGTATTTCACCAGGCTGCGAGTGAAACGGATCTATGAATGGCGCGGAGCTCCGCTCGTCTTCAACAGGAAACTCAACACCTCTGAGTATGGGTGAGAAGAGCCAGCAGCTTTTATCTGCTGATGTCATCATCTGCTGATTTAATCATCTGGTGACAACAAAAGGAGAAGTTGATCTATTCCAGTTATTTATGGCAAATATTACATTTATGCAGATTAACGTCACATAAACAATTTCAGTGATTATGGTTGAATATTACATGAGACCAAAAAACATAGGATTATTAGTCAATTACTGAGCCTCCAAAGAAACTGCAGAAAGCTGATATACTAAATATACTGATAGAAAGTTGTGTGGAAGGATAACTGCTGCCTTGAGTGTTATGAAGGCAAAGTTTACTAGTCAAGTCCTGATGGAAAATGAAAGCAGATCTCCTTACAGAGGGATCCACTGAGTTCAGACTTGATCCAACCTGTTGGCCCAAACAGTGGCCGATTACTCGGTTCTCCTGGAAGATCTGGAAACATCAAAATGGACCTCAGACAGCTTTAGGTTCTCAGCCTCTCCACTGTGAGGCTATGAGGCCTTGATTTTCTAAATGAAACGTAACATTTACTTTCATTTGTTTCCTGACTTTTTCCTTCCACTTAATTTTCTGTGAATATATCTGAATGCAGCACTGTGTGAACAGCGAGCTTCTTCAGGCCATATTGTTGACCAGCCATAAGTAAATCATCGGTGTAACATCAGTTTTCTTCTGTTTTCCTGTGGTTTCCAGCTCTCTCTCCATCAGGGTGGAGAGTCTCCCCCGGACCACCGTCATCAGCGCCGGGCAGCACATCCTGATCGAAGGCGACGACGACGACAACCCGTACGTCGCCAGAGTGGTGCGGCTGTTCGCAGACGGTCGGTTCCAGGAACTGGATTTAAACTGAACCGGCTAACCCGGGTCAGCGCGAGCTGACCTTTGACCTGCTGCCTTTCCAGAGAGCAGCGCGCAGAAGAAGGTCGTGGTCCAGTGGTTCGTCCGGGTGTCCGAAGTGCCGCCGGGCAAACTGAAGCTGCTGGGCAGAAACCCTCACCCACAGGAAGTCTTCTTCTACGAAGGTCACAGCTGTGAGGACGAGGTCAACGCCGAGTCCGTCCTCCGACCCGTTCAGGTGACGATGGTTTCAGTTCCTCTCTGAAATAAACATGTTGACATTAACTAAAGATGAAAAAAAGCATGTAAATTTACTGCAACATAAACAACTAAATGTATAATTAGAGAAAAACTACAGAAATTCAATAAATCAATTCTTCAAAATTAATAAAATTTCTAGATTTAATGGACAATTATATTCTGATAATTACATTTAAAATACTCCTGTTTTCTTTTAAAAGTCAAGCAAAAGTTAAACAAATGGATCAAATCTGATCTAAAGAATCAGATAAATGTTAAAATTCAGTAAAATGCTGAATCATTATAACGATTCTATTTATTTAATGTTTCATGTTTAAAGATGCATCTCTGTGGATAGTTGGATATATTACAGCAAATTGACTTTTGAAAGGTTATTTTTTTCTTTTCATTCAAAACGTTTGTCTTGAATTTTGATTCTGAAGCTTCACGTTTTATTGTTAATTTATTTGTTAAATATTTTAATATTTCCATTGATTTGTTGGATAAAAATATGTTCAAAGTTTGATAGATTTAATGAGAGTTGATGCATTTTTTATTCTTAATAGTTTTAGTATTTTAAGTTTTTTTCATTCAGTTGTTTAATTTTTTAATTCTTTTTCATGATTTACATTATTTATTCTTATTTGAATTAAATTAAATGTATATATTTCTATTTTGTTAGTTCAATAATTATCTGCTATTTATATTTAAACATTCGCATTAATAATTAAGTATTAATAATAACAATAAATGCTTTTTCTTTAATACATAAATAAGTCATTATTTAATAGATGTTAAATAAATAATATAATTATTTTAATCAATATTTTATATAGTTTAAATAATATTATATTTTTACTCTTCATTCTCATTCTGTTTATTATTTTATTTAGTTATTTTTGTTCATTTTCATCATTTTTATTTTTTCCTTCAGAATATTTTCGGTCGTTTTAAATTCTTCCTCTGCTCCTCTCTGTCATCTGGTTGTTGACCTTTTGACCCCTGCAGGTGAGACACCTGGACGCCGCCGCTCCGTTCCCCGTCTCTGAGGACGAAGACATTTTCTACGTCAAACTGTCCTGGGATTCCAGAACCTTCCGACCCGTCGACCCGTCTCTGCTGGACGCTTCCTGCACTCGCTGCCCCTCCCTCCCTCTCTCCCCGCCTCGCTCGCCCCCCACGGCGGCCCCGGCCGCCAGGGGCCCGGCCCGCCGCGGCCTGCCCGCCCCGGACCCCGCCGTGATGCGCGGCGCCACGGCAACGCCAACGAGCAGCAGGAAGCCTGAGGCCGAGTCGCTGCACTCCCTCACCAAACTGTCGGCCTCCAAATGCCTGAGCGCCAAGCGGCGCAGCGCCACCCAGAGGACGCCGGGCGTCCGCAAGAAGCTGCAGCTCAGCAGTGAGTCTTCCTCGCGCGTCGTCATCAATCAGGAAGTAAAACCGGCCAATCGCAGCACTCTGTGTCCTCAGGTCCGGACGAGCCGGCGGCGCTCAGAGACGACGTCCTGCAGCAGCTGCTGGAGGCGGAGCTAGAGGCGGGGGGGCGGTCCGCCGCCGCCGCGTCCCCCTCTGAGCCGCCCCACATCACCCACAGCCTCACCCCCCTCCGCAGGACCAGCAGGACACCCGGTCGCCACGACGACGTCCCCCTGACGCCGCGCTCCGTCCGGCGCCGGGAGTCTCAGAGCGAGACGGACAGTCCGCAGGCCGGGGACAACCGCAGCAGGTCAGAGGTCAACCTTTGACACGAACCAGACGATCAAATCCTCATTTTAATAATTTTTAGTTAAATTTGTTCAGTTTTGCAACAAAAATGCAGAAAAACCTGCAGCGACGTTTCTCACCATGGTAACAAAGACATGGTTTGGATTAGGATTAAATTAGGATATAAAAATAAAAGATCCCGTTTTTTCATCCCAGATCCTGTTTCAGGGATTTTTCTCAGTTTTAGGGAAACTTGGGGTTAAAAGTGGCTTTGAGTTCAATAATTTTATTATAATATTATGACTTTAATTACAAGATTAAAGTCATAATATTGGCAGAAAAAACATGAGATTTTTCCAGAAATTAACATTTCAAAACTGAGAGACAAAAGTTGATCAGGATCTGATGTGAGCAGCTCAGGTTGTTTTCTCTCCTCTGTGCTGAATAATTTGATGAGGATTCGAAAAAAGATGAAATATTATTTCTAAAACTAAAAGTTTAACTTAATAACATTCTCCACATTCCTCCTTTTAGTTTTAGTTTTTCTGTTGGAATCCTCATAAAATACAATCTTAATGTTGAAATGATTTGACTTTACGATCACAATTGAAAAAATAAAAATCTTCTTAGAGTTTGATCTGAATTCAAAGTCCAAATAAATGAAAGTTTTAAAACAAACGTCTCAAACAAAATGGCCGCCCTCAACTTTCTGGCATCACTGTAAAAAATTAAATCTTCATAAACCAAAGAGTTACTGAAAGGATTTGAGTCTGCAGTTTGTCTGAACCGGTTCAGGGTTCAGAACCGGTTCAGAACCAGCTGGTTCCTCTCAGGCCTCAGCGGGAATCCTCCAGCCGCAGAAGAAGAAGAGTTTCTCCAGGGAGAAACCACGCCCCCTTCAGGGAGACGTGAGTCTGACACCCGAACACATCGCCATGTTGCATTTAGGTCACCTGGTGACAGTGGGAAACAAGATGGCCACCCTCACCCAGCTCTGAAGCAAAGGCTGCTGGGAGTTTGAGTCCTGGGTCTCTGTGGTGGTGGTTCTGCACAAGAGGTGAATCTGGACCTCAGAACCAGAGATGACCTTTGACCTTTTCTGTGTTCCCAGCCGAACCAGCACCAGGAGGAAGGAGGTCCAGACTGGGACGGAACCAGTTCTGGAGGTTCTGTGAGTATTTTTACTTTTCAGTTTCAATCAGTAAAAACATTTTTCTTAGTGAATCAGCATAAACGGCCTATCCAAAGTAAAATGAACGCTTTTGAACAAACAGATGGAAAATAAATGAAATCACCTGGGAGACATATTGGCCCATTTGTTTAAAATATTTTATTTAAAAACAAAACAAGTATTATCAGTTACTAAAAGAAAAAAAAAATTAATTTAAAAGATCTCCGATTTTTTTCAGCAGGTTTTCCCACTGCGCCCCCTGCTGATGGGCTTGGGATAAGCTGATCAGAATATGCTCTCTAACACAGAAACTAATCAATAAATCAATAACGGTCAATCAAACATCTCCTGGCATGTCTAGATGATGTTAAAGCTTGGTTGGCTTTGAACTTTTTAAATTTTAACGAAAAGAAAACAGAGGTGATGGTGTTCGGACCCAGTGGCTCCTGTGAGTCCTCTGTTGACCTTTGACCCTTGGAGGTGTATTTTAAACCTGTTATTACAGATCTTGGTTTTAAGGTGGACAGTGATTTTAAATTGGACAGCCACATTAGAGCCGTGGTTAAGTCCAGTTTTATCATTTAAGGCGATTGGCATCAGTAAAATCTTTTCTTTCCAGGCAGCATTTTGAAACAGTGATCCACGCTTTTATTTCAACTCGACTGGATTACTGTAACTCTCTATATCTGGGAGTCAGTCAGTCATTGCTCTCACGTCTGCAACTGCTTCAGAATGCGGCTGCAAGACTTTTGACAGGAACTGGAAAGAGAGAGCATGTGACCCTGTCTTGGCTTCACTTCACTGGCTGCCTGTTTATTTTAGGATCCGTTTTAAAATTCTTATGTTTGTTTTTAAATCGCTGCATGATCTTGCCCCGGCTTACCTCACTGAGCTTCTTCACCCTTACATACCTTATCGGTCTCTTAGATCTGCAGATCAGTTGCTCTTGGAGGAACCGAGATCTAGGAGGAAGCTCAGAGGGGACAGAGCTTTCTCTGTCGGGGTCCTAAGCTATGGATGACCTGCAGGTCAGAGGCCCCTTCACTGTCCACTTTTAAAGCTCGTCTTAAAACCCTTCTATTTTACTTGGCTTTCAACTCCAGCGAGATCTAGTTTCATATTGTATGTTTGTTGTTTTAAACTGTATTTGTTTTTATCTATTTTATGTACAGCACTTTGTTTCAGCTGTGGTTGTTTTAAAGTGCTTCATAAATAAAGTTGGTATGGTAATATCTGAATTCAAAGCAGAGAAAATCTGCTTTGAATTTTCTCTGATTATCAATCACAGACTGATTGATCATTTCAGGTTTAATTTTTGGCTCATTTTGATTATTTCAGGTAATAAAACCATAAAACACATTTCCTCTTGATATTATCGTATCACATCAGATCTTTTTTGTGTAAAGACAGATTTAATTGCATGTTGAGTGTTTGGTTATGAACTGCATGGTTTCATCTTCCAGCAGGACTTTAGGGGTCTAGTCAAAGTACAGACAGTGCAGTACATGGAGATACTGCAGCTCAGGGCGATCCAAACGTTTTGTCACATGGCCAGAAAAAAACAACTCAAATCAACCAAATGGAGTCAAATTTACATTTTAGATCCAAAATTAATGCAAATGTGAAAATAATTTTTGGACAAATTTATCCTCAGAATCAGAACAGGATTCGCTTTATTTATCCAAGTTTAGTAAATTCAGCTGATTTGTCAGTTTTTCGGCTCAAGTTATTAAAAAACCTCGTTTATAAAATATGAATGTTTTTATTTTAAATTTTCTGAAATTAGTGTTGATAATAATTCTGCCCTGATTACAAATAATAAAAATCCATCAGCATCAGTTCATGTGTCACTCTGAGTTGGATCCGGTTCTGTTTGAACCCGGTTCTGTTCGCTGCCTGACCTCTGACCTGCCGGGTCCCTCAGAGACGAGGAGGAGGAGGAGGACGGCGCCCTGAGGGTCTCCAGGAGGAAGTCGGCTCTGAAGGTTTCGTCTCGGATCAGGAAGCAGCTGTGAGCGCCGACCGTCCAGAACCAGAACCTCCCTCCGACCCGCGGGTCCGATCTCCAGCTGACGTTTCTCCCTCAGGAAACTTCTGGACGACCGGCCGATCTCTGACGAAGACGAGGAAGACGAGGAAGACGAGGAGTTCGTTCCCAAGGAGCTGCAGAGCGGCGACGAAGAGGAGGAGGATGAAGAGTTGGAGGTGAAGAAGAGCCGCCGCTCCTCTTCCTCGGCGCCGACTCGTACCGAGCGCAGAACCTCGGCCCGAACGCCGAGGAAGACTCCGAGGAAGGTGAGTGTTGCCATGGCAGCGACTGCAGAAAGCGGTTGCTACGGTTCTGAGCTCCTCGGTTCTGGTTCTGCAGGCCGGTCCGATCACGCCGCGGACGCATCGCCACGCCGCGCCCAGCATCCCGACCCGGACCCAGCCGGCCCGTCGCCCCGCCAACGTCCTGGAGGAGGCCAGAGCCAGGTGAGAACCGGGTCAGAACCGGAACCAGAACCGGGTCAGAACCGGAACCAGAACCGGGTCAGAACCTCTTTCTGTATTTCCATCTGTTGTCCCGCCCTCAGACTCATCTGACCAATCAACAGACGGAACGTTCTCTCCTGGTTTCAGAGTCCGGTTCTGGTTCAGTTTGATGTAACAAAGTTTGACGGACCTCCCGAACCGACCCGTCAGGTTCTGCTGCCGTTGACCCGTCTCTCTCTGCTCCTCCAGGCTCCACGTGTCGGCGGTGCCGGAGTCGCTGCCCTGCAGGGAGCAGGAGTTCCAGGACATCTACAGCTTCGTGGAGAGCAAGGTTCTGGACGGAACCGGAGGGTGAGGACGGTTCTGACCCAAAACATCCAGAACCTCCAGGTTTCTGCTGCATCCTGGCGCTGAGCCTGGAGGAAAGATCCGTTTTAAAAGTCAAACATAATAAATGAAAGTGACTTTTTATGACGTTATTCTTTAGTGTCGGTTTTATTAAGGAAATATTTCATATTTTAACACGTCAGCCTCTAATTAAGAACTTTTTAAATGACGATTTTCTTCTTTTCATATGTTTATTCTGCTAATGTTGTTTATTTCTAATAATATGAAATATTTATGTCTTATGCTGCTCCTAATAACTTTATTCTAATATCTTAACATTTTTAGATTTTTCTGTTTTTAATAAGTTGTTGTTGGGGCCAAAGCAGCTGCAGTTCCTCAGTGTGTCTGCAGGGGGAGCTCTCCGCCCGCAGGCTGACCCGCTGCTCTTCCTCAGGTGCATGTATGTGTCCGGCGTGCCGGGGACGGGGAAGACGGCCACGGTGCAGGAAGTGATGCGCTGCCTGCAGCAGGCCGCCGAGCGGGACGAGATCCCGCCGTTCGTCTTCATCCAGATCAACGGGATGAAGATGACCGACCCCCACCAGGCCTACGCCCAGATCCTGCAGGTGATTGGCCCAAAACCGACCCACAGGCTCACCCGCCAGGCTGACCTCTGACTCATCGGGTCGTGGTTTTATTTCAGTTGGGAATTAAAGGATCCGCATTTCATTTTTTCATTATTTCTAATAATTTGGGTTTCTTTAAAGAGCCGCTTCCTTTTTGTTATTAGTTGCAGTTCCTTAATTTATCACCAAATATAATGTGAATATTATCAAATATTTAAAGCTTTTATTTCTGGTTATTTTGATGACTCTGAATCACAGAATAAAAACCTAAAATTTAACATATAAGAAAATTTGATTTAAAAAAATGTAATTAAATTAACAGAAATGTCAGGTGCACCTTTTCCTTCCACTCAACTTTCTACAAATAGTCTTGAGCTGCACCTTTTAAAGTTGATATTATTAACTGCAACAATATTGACTGTAGATTTATATTCATGTATGAACAGTTGGTGCAGCTGCAGTCGCAGCCTCTCTAACTTGATGTTAATCTTTTATTTTTTCTGTCAGTTTGAAGAACAGAAACTAATTAAACTCATCTTATGATTTTACTGTGAAACATCTGAGTGAAACGTTTTTGATGTTTTCTTCCTCTTTCTTCTAGTTTTTACAAACAAACATCCTGTTACTGATCACTAATCTGATGATATTAAAAGCTGATGAAAAGTTTGTGTTTGTCTGCAGAAGCTGACGGGTCAGAAAGCCACGGCCGACCACGCCGCCGCCCTGCTGCAGAAAAGGTTCAGCAATCCGGCGCCGAGGAGGGAGACCACCGTGCTGCTGGTGGACGAGGTGGGCAAGCGGCATTTAATCCTCACGAGTTCAGATTTGATTGAGTCTAACCTTCTTGGCTCTGAATGAAATCAGCAGATTTAAAAGTTAAAAATGGCAGCAAGAATCTTCTGCTTGTTCTCCAAAGCGTGACATCATTTCCTGCCCCTGTGATGTGTTGGTTTGTGGTTCCTGTACTGAACGTCCTGTTTGCGAAACGCAGACCCGAATAAAGGCGGCGAGGTTTTATTCACATTCAGTCATGTGATCCGTAACAAAGTCCAGAGTAGAAACAAACCCGACGGAAACTGCTTTCAGTCAGAAATGAAAAGAAATGAAAAGGCTGAATTTTATTCAAACTGTCGGTTTGTTGATGGCAGCAGCTTTCCTCAGCATCTTTACCATAAAGCGTTGATTTTGCGGCCCGTTGCCACGGCGACCTGTCTGTGCAGCTGGACCTGCTGTGGACCAGGAAGCAGAACGTGATGTACAACCTGTTCGACTGGCCGACGCGGCGCCACGCCCGCCTGGTGGTGCTGGCCATCGCCAACACCATGGACCTGCCGGAGAGGATCCTCATCAACCGCGTGGCCAGCAGGCTGGTGAGGGAACACTGGGGTCAAAGGTCACCATGACGCCACTCTGAACAGCTCACATAAGGAGAACCTGAACTTTAACTTCAAACCAGCTTAGTTTACTGCAGCGGGGCCCAAAGGGCGGCTCCGGGGCCACTTAGGGCCCTTTAAATGAATGGATGTGGCCCTTAAACTCAGTTCAAGAACGAAACAAAGACAAGTTTTTGTTTTTTAATTATAAGTTTTATCAGCTTGAAATTGTTTGCTTTTGTCAGCAACCAGGAAGTGAGAATAAAAACATCCAATAATATTTACTAAAATAAAGATGTGAACACAAAATGTTAGCAAGCTAGCGATCTAGCTGGCTAACTTAAAAAACACAGTTAGAGCAGAAATTAATCCGAAACTGAACAAAGAAAATGAACCTTTTGTATTTAAGGTAAAGATATTATTTGTAAATATGTTTGACCCAGAAATCCTCAGTCTGGTGCAAATTATGGAAAAACTCAAAATAAATAAGAAGTCTCCTTTTAAGTACGTTTTGCTATCCAATTATTAATCAGTTGATGCAAAAAATAATCAATGAATCTTCAAACAACCAACTGTCCATTAAAGCTGTTATTAAATGCTTCTTTGGATCTTTGAATGCATTTGTGATATTGAATAAAATCAGTGGTTCAATAAAAATCTGCTGAATGTCAGAATAACATAAATAATTGTTTTATAGTATAAAAGCCCCTCTGACCTCTGACCTTCAGGGTCTGACCCGGATGTCCTTCCAGCCGTACTCCTTCAAGCAGCTGCAGCAGATCGTCACGTCTCGCCTCAACAAGCTGAAGGCCTTCGAGGACGACGCGCTGCAGCTCGTCTCCAGGAAGGTAAGCCTCCCCTCCCCCACCCGTTTCCAGTCTCTGTGGGAACCGGCCGGCTCAGCGCTGCTCTCCTCCGCCAGGTGGCGGCGCTGTCGGGTGACGCCCGCAGATGCCTGGACATCTGCCGGCGGGCGACGGAGATCTGCGAGCAGTCGGCGGCGGCGCTGGTCGGGATGAGCCACGTGATGCAGGCGCTGGACGAGATGTTCTCCTCGCCGTACGTTGCCGCCATCAGGTGAGCGTCCCGGCCGGAACGGTGGGGGGCGGGGCTTCGAGGAGCGGCTGACGAACCGCCAAGTTTGTTTCCAGGAGCGCGTCGACGCAGGAGCAGCTGTTCCTACGAGCCGTCATCGCAGAGTTCAGGAGGCTGGGACTGGAGGAGGCCACCTTCCAACAGGTGAGGTCAAAGGTCACAGCCAGTGTCGCCTCCAACAAGTCAGGTCAAAGGTCACACATTGGTCAGAGCAGGACCAAACAGAACCAGTGAGCAGAGAATTAGAACAAAGAACTCGTTCATAGAACCATTCAAAAGAATCAAATCTTGTGAACGACTCATTAGTTCTCTGAATCCGTCTATTCATTCATCCATCCATCATTCATTCATCCAGAGGAAATGTATAATCAATCAGTCATTAGGTAATAATTGATTGATTGTCAGATCCGTGTTCAGAGTCATTTTTATTCTTTCTGCTCTGATCAGAAAGAAACAGCAGAAGTTCAGTTGCTCTTTCAGTGTCGGCCATCTTTGAGTGCAAAGATGGCCGACACTGAATCGGCTCACAGTGAGTGAAACCATGAGAGGAATCTCACACAGTCATCAACTACTAATGTCATTTAAATGTAGTGAGGCGTGATGAAAATATTCCTAACAATAAAACGGTTCCAGGCGTGGCTAACCTTCAGATTGTCCGGCTTTGCCCTGCGTTCCGTCTGCCAGGTGCTGGTGCAGCACCAGGCTCTGTGTCGGGTGGAGGGCCTGCAGCCCGTCGGCGTGTCGGAGGGCCTGGCCGTGTGTCGGCGCCTGGGAGCCTGCAGGCTGCTGCTGCTGGAGCCCAGCCGCCTGGGGGTCCTGCAGAGGCTCTGGCTCAACGTGAGCCAGGACGACGTGCTCTTCGCCCTGAAGGCCGACTGACCAGGAGGAGGCGCTGTTTTAAACCCGTTCCGGTTTTTCTGTGGTTCATCCCTTGTTTTATTAAATGTTTCTAGTTCTCAAAGTACTTTCATGTTTTCTGTCTTAAATATGCAATAAAACTTAAAAAAAAACTTTTAGTGCAACTTATTTGTTGATTATTGACAAGTTATTATAATTAAACTGAGCCTCATGGTCTTTAAGCAGAATATAAAAATCTTTACCTTCATTTGATTTCCTGTCTGGCTTTATCTGTTTTCTCCTGAAATCTTTTTAAACTTTGTAAGAACTTGATAGAAACAAACCAAGATTTAAACAGAAAACACAAATCATAAAAACATTAAAATGTTTATTTTATGAAAGCAATAAAAACATCCAGTTATGGAGTCTGGAGGTAAAAGTTGAGGTTTTAGGTTCATGTCTGCAGCAGCGTCGGGTTCCTCCTGGAATGAAAAGATATATGAAAATTTATCTTAAATGTTGGGATCAAGGATCCAGATGATATTTGAATTATTTTCAGTTTATTTAAATTTCTACATTGTTTCATTACTGAACACCAGCAGTGGAAACAGGGCTGCTAATGTGCTAATAGCAAAGCTAATTTTAGGCTTAGCATTTTTGCTAAGCTAATGCCACGATAGCATTAGCTTCCTCTAACTACCATATTGCTATAGCACATTAGCTTCTGCTAAATACAGTGGTTAGCATTAACGTACCATGTTGCTACATAGTTTTAGGATTAGCAAATTAATATTTATCAGCGTTTATGGTTTTTTTGCTAGCGATGTTCAGCCCACATGTTGATCATGGTGACCAGCCTCCCATTACAGAGACATAAATCCTTCATTAAGACACAAACCTGCATCTCTGCCAGGCTCTATAGATCCGTTCCCTGTTTTGGTAAACCACAACACCGATGATGATGATGATGATGATGATGATGATGATGATGAGGAGGAGGAGGAGGAAGATGATCAGCCACCAGAGATCTTCAGATGAAGCCGTAGGAAATGGAGTCAAGCTTGTGTTCAGGAGTTTTTCACCTGGAGTTGAATCAACACCAACATCTGATGTTTATTCATAAAAAACCAAAAATGTTTTTTCATCCAGGCAGAGAAACTCACCAGTTTCCATGGAGACGGGACATCCTGCAAACAGATTCATAATCTGGGATTAGAATTACATTTTAAACCCAAACTCAGGTTTAGTGAATTCATCTCACCGCTCTCCCTGATCGGTATCTCTGTGCCGTCTCCCTCCAGGATAAGGTCAGAGGTCACGTTGTTGCAAACAACATGAGCCGTTTCCTGGAGACAAACCAAACATCTGGATGGAGGAGGAGGAGAGACGGAGGAGGAGAGACGGAGGAGCAGAGCGGGAGGAGCAGAGCGGCGTCACACCTGGACTCTCCCACAGGTTCCCCTGATCTGCTCCAGCAGGGTACAGCTGATCCACCTGTCTGACCTTTGAACCCTCTGCCTGAAGGCATCTCAGAAGATCCATCCTGAAACACAAAGAGCAGAAAAAATCCTGACAAATCAGAGACTTGATGAATGATCACAACGTTCAGAAACTTTCCTGCCAATAACTGTGAAAGGTTTAACCACACATCAAAAAGGAAATGTTTTGTTTGTTAAAATATGATAGTAAAATAGGCTTTAGATGCCACAATATTTATGTTTTTATTCATATTATCTCCAAATCTTGATTATGAAATAATCAAAGCTACATTATCACAATTACTTTATGATTTTGTTTTTAAAAGTAGTTTTATTGCACTGTAATTTTCAATTTTTCATGACTAACATTAATATAAAATATTGCTAATCTTACTTGAATAAAACTTCTGGATCTTCTGTCCACAGTAAGAAGCTGAAAAACAAACATGACTAAAACCAAAAATACATGAAATACAAAGACAAACCAGTTTACATCAAAGTGAGACCTCCTGTTAGTTCACAAGCTTTGTAGATTGTGTTATTTATATTTGCAGAAACATTTGCAGGTGTTCCTTATCATTATTATAGATCTGAGTTTGGTTGAGTACCCAAAAATTGTATTCAAGGAAAAGTAACACAAAATACTTTTACAGAACTAAAAGTAAAAAGTTGTCACCCAAGAAATAAAAAGTATTTTGTAAAAAGTCTATTGAAGTACAGAGTAACTAATCAAATTATTAATCACTTAATATTTTAAAATTTAAATTAGTAGCAAACAGACCAAAATATAAAGTCAAGTGGAAATTTAGGTATTTCAGGAGCAAAATGACAATAATTCATAAAAGTAACATAAAAGGAAGAAAAAGAACGAAAAAAACCCAGATCAGTTTCTTTCAGTACAAAAAAACTTGAAAACATTTTTTACACCATTAAAAAATTTTTTAAAGTAAAAAGACTCCTAAGTATATTTTTAAAATGTAACTGAGTAAATGGAAGTTTGTACCCGACTGTGTCTCATCGGTGTTTGTTGTTTTGTTGACCCTGAGCGTTTGTCATGATGGTGACAAACCCACCGCTTTTCTGTTGTTTCAGAAAATCCTCCAGGCTGATTCTGATCTTCTTCCAAACTGGAAGAAGATCAGAATCTTCTGCCTCGATGTTCCGAGTCTGAACTGACTTCATCAGATCTCCGGCTTGTCCTCAGGACCCGCATCCTCCCTCCCCTCGTTTAAACTGTATATTGCGCAGGTTTCGCCTCACATTTTCACGGAAACTCCGCATTTAATCCGCAATCGGAGACTAAAGCTGGCCTTCTACGGCCAGGCCCCGAGGCGGACACCCGGCCAGCTTCGGGTGGGTGTCCGCCTCCGAATCTGGACTTCGGCTCCGGAGTTCAGTGAAGGTCTCACCTTTATTCCTCCACTGGAAAGTCGGAGCAACAAAATAACTTTGACTGAAACAAGATCTTGCAGACACGGCATGAGAACTGTCTCCCTCTGGGTATCGCCTGATTTCCATCATTTCAGACTGAACGTCAGAACAATAATCCTGAAAACGCTTACCCGCTTTTGACGCTGCCGCTGCTGACTTGCGCCAGTCACATCCGTCTGTCACATCTGGTGCGAAATAGACGCCTGGATCCGCCTCCTGCATTCTGTGGGTTGGATGCACTTGTCGGATCCAATAATGTTTAGGGGGCTGGTCCTCAGTGATGCTGAGGATCACATGAATTGAACCAACAAGAATTGTACATTTAAATGTCGGCATGAATGGAAAAATAATATTTGTCCCTCAAACTGTGGACAATTGTGCCCAGATGTGATTAGTTTGATCATTCTTGCACCACTTTTTTAGGCACATAGTTCAGAGTTGAGGATGATTAAACAAAATAAAAGCTTTTTTTCATTAAATTAAAGAGATTTCTGATTGCTTGGAAGGTCTGCATGACCACCAGACCTCCAAGAGTCTGGCAGTAGGATTCTGGATTAGCTGTTAGACACCATTAAAATTATCCAACCCACTGAAAACAGCTCACATTTTTTGTCCTTCAGAAGCCGTTCTGGGGATTTTATTCATTTTTCTTCATCCAAACTCGTCAGGTGGAGTTGATACCTGAAAGTTTTAGTCTCATCTTCACCACGTGGTTTTTCAGCCTGGGCCCCCAAACTGATGGAGAGACGGAGCAAGGAGCCCCAACTTGATCTAGGACTTCCGTCGTAGATCAAATATTCTTAATCAATCAGTCAAGTTAATTTGTTCAGCACATTTCAGCTTTATGTCAGAGTCTGTCACTCCACCCAGCGTTCATCCTAATTATTCAGCAGTAATAACTGAAGCTGTGCGTTGACTCCAGATCTTTCAGAAACACATTTATCTGTTCTAAGCATTTATTCATTCATTGATTTATTTTATTTTGGTAAACTGTCCACATCACCAGAAACAACAAAGAAATAACAATAAACAACAAATAACCCACAATTTACCAAAAAAGGATTAGGCTGAACCAAAGCTTATTCTTACCTTCCCTATTTTTTAACCCTTTAACCTACCAGGATATTTTCACAATACATATATAAATCTAAATAATGGCGTAAGATTTTATCATTTTACATCTTAATGCTCTTTTAAAGTTTACTGAAAAAGAACATAAGTTACATTCATCGTTCAGTTCATTCCAATTTCACACCAATAACTGAAACACATCCAGACTTTATCTGGCTCTTCTCTTTTGCACATTCAAATATAAACAAACCTCACAGATTATATTTATTCTCTCTTAACTTAAATCATTTCTGAATACCTGAAGGAAGACTTTTGTTCAATGCTTTAAACATTACTTCCAGTATTTTTATATAGACAATATCTTTAAATTTTAAAATATTACTTTGACTAAAAAGTTTATCCGTTGGTTCCCGGTATCTCACTTTATTAATAAGCCTTACAACTTTTTTTTTTTTTGCTGCTTAACTAATTTTTCAATAGTTGTTTTATTTGCATTTCCCCAGATTTCTGAGCAATAAGACAAATAAGGCATAACCAAAGAAGAATAAATAATATGCAAGCCTTTAACATTTATTAAATCTTTTATTTTAAACAATATTCCAATAGTTTTTGCAACTTTGTTTCTAATATATTGTATATGACCACTGATATGTAATCCCCCGCAGGTGATTGGATGGGGTCAAAGGTCACCTGGTGACATCATAATGTAGAGCTGAGTATCATCTGCATAGATATGGTAGCTAATATTATTTCCTGTTATAACCTGAGCTAGTGGGAGAATATAAATATTGAATAGGAGGGGTCCTAGGATTTCCAGTTGAAATAAAGGAATTTCTGTTCTTTAAGATTCAAGCCAGTCGAGCACCGAACCGGAGAGTCCGACCCAACTCTCCAGTCGATTCAGTAATATGTCAAAAGCTGCACTGAGGTCCAACAGAACAGAATATTCATTCTCTCAGATCAACATTGGGACTCATTAACATCTAAAACATGATTACTGTTTTATTCATACTCCATAACAAAAAAGCTTTGACATCAATTTAAGGAGACAGAAATTCTAGCTGTCAGATGAAGAATTTATATCCATTATTGAATTGGATGAATGATGTAAAAAGGAAAAAATGGAAGTGATAATAAAATTTTTTTTTTTACAGTTTTTTAGCTTGTAAAGGATATAACTTTATGAAATGGCAGGTTTGATGACGGAGAAACCCACTATGATGGTTTCTCTGCTGATTTGAGGGTTTTAAATCTTAATGATTGTTTTAGGACAGACTGTCTTCAGTCAGAGGCTTCCTCAATCTCACTGTAACACAGACCGCTACAGGGATCTTCCCTGCCAACAGCCATCATCACCATCTACAATAACTGAAGATGGTCATTGCAGATGAATTTGAATTCATGAGTTACAACATTTAATTTCCCTTTATTTTCAAATTAAAATTTGATGTCCATCATTTTATTGCTTTGCACACCTTCTCTTCATCACTCCATGTGTTTGCAGGACACCTTGTTTGATTGATTGATCACAACAGTAAGAAAACACAAATGAGCAATAATAATAATAATGATAAGTGAATGCCACTCTGCTACTAAAGCCTGTCTAAAGAAGCCTGGAGCTTAAGCTTAAAGATGTCGGGTCAAAGATGGAGCAAAGGTCTAGAGGAGGGTTGTTCCAGAATCATTGTGCTGCCCGGTCACCCCGAAGCTTTACTCTTTTCCTCTGATAAAACTTCATCTGATGACCTGATTTCTGCTGATAGTTGCGGCGGTTTGGTCAGTGGCTTCGGTCCTGTGAACACAGACACATTCAGGTCAACAGTGAGAAAATGAATAGATCCAAAGCCAGACAAGAAAGCCGTAATGTTCAAACAAAAAGCGGCTCTAGGAATTCACCAACAGAAGAATAACAAAGTTCAGCTGCAGGAGCTGGTTGTGTGAATCACTTCCACTGACACTGAGAGCAACTTCCTGTTTCACCAGATGGAAACAAAATGGAGGCGTCAGATTTTAGCGTTGGAGGATTTCTCTTTAGTCTTTGGCTGAAGACCACCACACATTTCTCCTGCTACTGCTAGGCTAACACGTAAGCTTTGGTTGTGTTTACCCAGAATGCCCTGCACTGTAGTCCACTTCCTGCTTTTGGAGCGGTCTCTGGTCAGCTTGGCGTTCACATTCAAACCGAACCAGAGTTCACTTCAACCAAACCCAGATCAAGATTTTCAGGCAGACCAAAAACATCCCAACTGTCTCTCCAGGCAAAAATCACTTACGCTTCCTAGGAACATCTGTATCTTTGGACCTGAGCTTGTCCTCAGACGTTTTCACACCTGAAGGGCCAGTAGACCCGGTTCTATTGTAACCAGAACTTCTTCATTTGCCAACCCAGAAAGACTGAGGCAGTATGCAGACTGCGATTATCACCAGGTTCTGCTGAGGTTCTGCTGGGTTGAAAAGTGAAAACAGTTGGTGAAAACAGAACTCACCGAGTCAGGGTCCATTTGAAACATTCAGCTCTCTGTTTTCCGTTCCACACTGGTTCAACAAAACCACCTCTAGATTATGTGAAGGTTCAGCTATTCCACCAGAACCATCCTGGAACATCAAAACACACAGAGCCCGATTTCATGTGGTTCCTATCAATTAATCTATGTTTGTAGATTTAGCATTTTGAGAGTCAATCAATCTCATGCACTCGCTGCCAGATGTGCAAATGGTGGAGAAACTGTTACAGGATAACTGTTCACCCACTCTCATCAGTGGCCATGCTAACTAGCTTTAGCAATCTGGCAGGCTGTGCTAGCTGCATTGAAGCAGAAAGCAAGAGATTGATTGACAGCGCTAAGCTCCGCCTCCTTGCTCTGATTTGTTGTTTGTAGTTACTGAGAGAAGACCAAGCAACTCGATTTTTCACAGATTATCTGTCTCATAACATTCTGTCATAAAACATTGACAGTTTCAAGAAATATGTAAAAAATATATTATAGTTAAATTCTATAGTTTCAATAGAAACTACGGAGCTAAAGTCTGTTATTTTTTTAATAAATTTGTTGTACAACAGTTACTCTCTGAAGTAGTAAGTACTTATAAAAGCGTGATAATAATATTTACATTTCTTTAAATATAATTTTCCAAAATCACATGCATAATAATAATTAATAGTTGCAGTTCATATCATTCTTTTGTGTGACTATGGTTAACATGTTGCTTGTTGAAAGTGCATCAGGCCTCAGTTATCCCTCTGGCCTTGATTCAAACTTTTTTATGATTCTGCTTCAGAAAGACCCACCTGCTGCAACCCATGAGCTCTACACAGACCCACCGCAGTGAGGATGAGGAGGAGGAAGAGGATCAGGGAGACGACAGCAGCAAAGTGATTTCTTGTGTTCTCATCTGTAGAAACATGAAGTCAGACTGAAATCAGGTCAGAGAGATGATTCAGCAGAAACAGGATCCGATTCAAAGCTAAACCTGATTGATCTGCGGAACACCTGGCAACAGGTGAGCAAAGATATGGAGCTTCAAGACAGAGAGAGAGAGTCAGAGCTGAGGAACATCTCAAAGATGAAACCATCCACATCCAGACAAAAATACGATTTAATCATGACGGATACTCTGACATGTTTCATTTATTTCTGGAAGTGCTCCAGCTTTTAAAATAATAGGTTGTCTTTTCTAAGCAATATAAATTTATGATGCTGCTTAGAATAGTCACAGGACCAGAGCTGTTTACTGTAGGTCTCAAGTTTGAGACCTGCAGCAATACTGGCAGGAAGTAAACAGGAATACTTGAGGTCTGTCTCAAACTTATACCAGAGGATGTCAGTTTTTTCATACAGCTTTAGACTATCAGATGTTTAAGATTTCCATACCTGAAACAACCCCAAAGTTAACTACATTATGGTCATTCCCAGAGATGAAGATTGATGTTGTTTAAAACCTAAATTTTCACAGATATAACTGACCCAAACTGTAATCTTTTATGAGTGTTATGTGTTAGGGAGGTCTTTAGATTGAAATGAAAGCATTTATTTTGCAGGAGAAAATTAGGGATTCAAGTTTTAATCTGAAGTGACTAAAACGTACCAGCAGGGGGCAGTCTGGGTTCATCCGGAACTGAAAACAGGTCAGAGAACAAAACATTAGCTTCATTTACTTCAGTCATTTTTAAAATAAGAAACTCCTAGGAGTATTTTTATTGTACCAAACTTTTTACTTTTACTGGATTGATAATATTTTCAAGTAACACTTATATTCTTGATCAACAGTAGCTGTTAGCTGTTCGCTAAATCCCCAGAATTGTCCCAGACACAGTTTATGTCAGAGTGAGACATCGTGTTTGTAACAGAACAATTTCTATTGTTAAACCTCAAGTTGCTGCCAAATCAATGTGTGAATGCAGCTCCCTGATTGGTCGGTAAGACCAGACCAACACATTCTGTCTTTTATCTACTGTAAGTTTTGGGTTCAGAAGCTTTATGTTACAAAAAAAAAAACAGTATTTTTTCTGCCTGAATTTATTCTTATTGTTATTGATATTTTTCAACCAATATATGATTATATTCTCTAAAATAACCAGAATTTGCACATAACTTTATTTTCCATCAGATTACATTTTTGTCTATAAATTAAACCAGTTACTCATTACAGTCACTTTTCTGTTTAATCTTGGGTAATGTTGGCATTTCTTTAAATTCGACTTGAGTAAAAATGAAGCGCTGCTACTTCAGCATAATTTTGTGATATTCTTCAATGATTTAACTCACAATCCAGTTTTTACATTTTTAAAGCTAAACACCAGTAGATTTGTTGAATATTTCTGCAGTCAGAAGTATAGATCAGGTAAAGAGTCACCTGGGCGGGATTTTACCTGTGTAAAGCTCTGCAGCAGCAGGTGGCTCCGGGCAGACTGGAACAGAGCAACACGATCAGCTTCATTTATCAGCTTAACAAGGAGATTGACTTTGTTTCAATGCTTTCAGAAAAACACATGAAATATAAACTTATAAACTTAGAGAACAAAAATTACAAACACAGTTGCAGGTATACCCAATATATTAATGATATTTCTTTAAGGAAAGGTTAGATCTGTAGGCTTAGTTCATTTAAAAACAAATTAATCTGCTTGAAATCGATTCTTTCTTGTCATTGTTTCTTGATGGAGTCGCTGAGCAGCAAAGTGTTTGTGCAGCATCATGTCCAGTCAGAGACAGAGAGACATTTCTGAGTTAATTCAGAATCAAACCTTTGGAGAAATTAAGCTGAATTTTATCAAGAGATTTTATCCTGAAAACATCTCCTCGATTTCACATATTTAGTCGTCACAGTGTGATGATTAAATGTATGATTATATTTGAGATATTTGGAGAGTTGAGGCCATGTATGACTCGTTTTAAGAAGCAGATTCTGCAGGATTCAGACCAGATCGACATGAATGCTTTAAATGCGCTGAGAGCCAACAGAGCTGATCCTTCACTGAGTCACTTTCTATTGACCATAAAACTCTGCAAATTGGAATTACGGAAATAAATGGTTCTAATGGAAAAACACAAATTTTGACATGACTTTGATTTTCCAATAAAACTTCTTTGCGTTTAGGATGACGTGTTTCCCCTCCGCATCATTCATTTGTATTTTTCGCAAAACTGAAACCCCTTTTTGGCGCAAATAGGCAGCAAGCGCCATTTTGCACCAAAGCGGTTACTGCTGACCCGCCCGGCTCAGTGCAGCTGCTCTGACAGAGTCACACAGTTCAGCAGAGGTTGTGTGTCATTCCAAAACATAAATATCCTTTAAAATCACCGACTATTTCCCCGCATCCGTAGAAAATCTCTGCGGCCCAGAGTCCTAGAGGCCCAGGGTCCCCTGGCTAAGCAGCCACGCTCCGACTGCAGACTGGCCCTTGCCTGTCTTGCTCATTTGTTTGTTTTGTTTTCTTGTTTGGTCCTCATGAAGAGACTAATTACTGTTAAAATCTGTCTCAACGAGTCGAGTAACAATCTGACACATTTCTAAAGACTTGTCACATGAATCAGCTTCTTCACATGTGATATTAATTTAATATATTTAACTAAAACATGGAAATTGCAGAATTGTGTTTTTTTGACGTTAGCAGAATATTTATGCATTTGTAATGGAAACGCATCAGAACTCTGGATCCAGTTTTTCTGTCTCAGCTGGATTTCCTAAAATATTATTATTTCTATAAATGATAAATAGATTCGGTCCAGAGCTGTGCAGCCGGTCCGTACCAGTCCTCTGGGTCCAGTAAGGGTCTCCGGGTCGCTCCAGGTACAGAGCGGCTCCATCCGGCAGGTCGGCGCAGATGATGAAGACCTGCCCGAGTCGACAGACCTCACAGCGGGATGCAGGGGGGGAGAAGGAGGAAGAGGAGCACTGAGGAAGAGGAGCGGAATCTGGATCCTTCACCCACAGGAAGCCCTGGTCATCATGGTTACTGTGGAGCTGCGTGGCATTCACGGCTGCAGGATCCGAGGAGCTGGAGCAGGTCAGGTTGGTCTGATAGGCAGAAGGAGAGGTCAAAGGTCCTGCTTGTTTCCCATTTTTAAAAATCTGATGTTTGGTTTCTAACTCTGACCTGCAGCTTCCAGCTGACGGCAGAAACTGGAGCCATGACACTTAGCAGGAAAACATGGCGGAGCATGTCTGAGGCCTGAAGGACAAAAGGTCTCATTAAACTTCCTCTATTAAATGTTACGTTTTGTAAACTAAATTAAAGGATATAAACTAAAAGCACCTTCAAAGACACATGGCTGGATGTAATTTGCAGAAAGACACCTGTCGCTAAAACACATTTTTCTAGAAGATAAATTATCACAAAAACAATGAACCAAAAGATACCGTTTTGGAGATTTTATTAAAATGAAATTATAATGCAAGTTCACCGTCTCAACGACCAATAAACTTTAATTTTGTAAAGAACAATTAACAATAAAACTGGAAAAATGTCTAATTAAAACACAATAACCAAAAATAATAAATAAAACAAATAAAAAACACAGAACTGAAAGTGTGTATAAAATGAATTACAAAACCTCGGTAAACTAAACTGCCCTTCAAAAATTATTGATCAGACTGGAAATTATCAAGCTCATTTTAATTCACTAGGCAATTAAGGTAAAGTAATGTTATTTATATATCTTGTTGTCTGCAGCAAAGCCTTGGAAGCAGAGCTCCTCCGACAAGCCAAATGTTATTATGGCAAACTGGCCTCAATGTTTTACCAGAGACATTTTTTGAGTTCCCCAACCTTGGAAAATTCTAGAACCCCAAAGAAATCATGAAAAAAACTTTTGTATTGAAACATTATCAACATGAGAATGCCATAGAAACAAATAAGGAAATAAATCGCCCTCATTAAAGAAAAAAAAAAAAAGCCTAAACATGCAGTAAATAAATCGAGTTTCAATCAGTTTTGCACCAAAGAGTAAATAATAATAAACAAGTTTTCACTGCGGTTCGGTAAGAGCCATATGAATGAAAGTAATTATTGATACGACAGCAAGAGACTTTGACACGGGGTGGGCGTGACGTCATCTGCAGGTTTTGTGGGGAAGGGTTAGGGTTGGGGGGGAGGACAGATGCGGCCCTTTACACCCATTAGTTTGCCATGTTTTATAATAATAATAAAATGATAAAATAATAAAATGTGTTAATTATTATTAAGTCTTTGGTGCAAAAAAACTGATTGAAAATCAATTTATTTACTGCATGTTTAAGATGGATCTGCACTGAAAGCAGCTCTTTAAACCAGACTAGAACACAACAGACATACCCAAAATGTCAGATGATTTATTACCCCGTGATAATAACTCAGAAATAATCCAAATTAGTATGTATTTTTATTTATTCACTATTTACCAAACGTTTCTGTTCTATAAGTTCTTGGTGCCTTTCTATCCTAAAGGAAAAGATGTAAAACTTCAGATTCACAAAAAGATATTAACATTCATGAACAAACCTACATAACCTTTTATTAAAGGACCAAGTACAGCGGCAGGCGTAAGAAAGGCTTGCTGTAATTAAGTAATTAGGCCACATAACTGATCAGTAAGCTACAGTATATAGCCTATATGTATATATTAATTAACCCACATTTCGTTACATTTCACTGTAACAACTTTAATGAGCCACCAAACTTGCTCTTAAGAAACTTCCTGTTTATGGTCCCTCCAATAATGAGGTGATTTCCCTTGGTTCACAACCATCGACAGGTCAATTTCGTGTCGATGGTTGTGAACTCCACCCTGAGGATGCCTCAGGGTGGAGTTTCAACCTGTTGGTCATCCTGAGGCAGGTGGAATTCAACTGGATGAATTTTCAGTGTGACTGAGACAGACTCTGATAAACCTCTAAACTGGTAAGCCATGCCACTCACACTGTAGAAATAATTATAGAAGAGACAGAAATGGCCGCAGGGTGATTGTTTTTGTCCCAGTCCGCAGGACTTCCTCCAGTTTGAAAAGATTCAGCCTGAAGAAATATGATATTCTTTTCATTGATATAATTTTACTAAGCTTAATTACAACTAACCTCTGCGTTGTAAAAACGTTTTCAATAGTGCAACATACTGTTTTATTTGAATCTATTCAAACTGATTTGCGTTCTTAAAGACTGTGTCTTTCTGAGCAACATCTGCAGCGAACAAGAACACATTTTTAAAATAATTGTTTTAAAAGTTGCTCTGAAAAATTAATGCCCAGTACAACCATAAGTTATTACTCACTGTCGATCTGACGGCCAGCGGACAGGTTGAAGAAGCTTTTTGATCCAACAGGAACAAGCGCTTCGCCAAACCTTCTACGTCACAAAACCCCGCCTCCTCCCACTTCTCTCCCGCAGACGGGCCTTTGTCTCGACAACCATCAGGCGCATAATTCTCTCCAAATCCGAAATGATCAACACAGAAAAAATCATCGCTGGTTTGACCAACTTTTAACAAGATCCTGCAGATGAAATAAACAGAAGACTTTCGGTTAATCCCACAGAAATCGATGAGGAAATATCCGGTGAACTGGACGACAGCAAGACACGGAAATAAGTAAGAACCAGTTTTAGTTCAAGTCCCGTCCGACCCGCCCTGTCCCGCCCCGCCCCGCCCCGCCCCGCCCCCGTCCCGTCCCGCCCCGTCCCGCCCGTCCCGTCCCACTTCCAGGCTCTGCATGGCACATCTTTCTCCCTCCCCTCGGTCCTTGCTCTGACACACATAAGGGCGACTGGCCTGCAGGATACTGTCAGAGTTCGCACAGCACTTCTACCACTGCGCCGGACCCACATGAGCACAAGCACATCTCCACTAGAGACAGACTGAGGACCATCAGAACCACAGCGGTCTTCACCTTCCAGGCCCTCTCCAGTTCCTTCCAACGTAAGTACTCCAAAGTGGGAAATTTACGGGAAAATGTAAATGATGCTAATATGTTTTATTTTTGCTGTTTTTTATATTAAAACGGCAGTTTTCCAGCCAAAACGGGAGAGTTGACGTGCAGCCAGGAGACGCTGCTAAAGGGTTTCATCCCGCATATTATGGACTTATTTACATGAATATCACTGGTTTAGTGATGACAACTCACTTTCTATGTTGAATTAACTTAAAGCTTGTAAATTTTAACTTCAGTGAGATTTTTACTTTGACTTTACTTGAAACAATGAAGTTCAATACAGAGTCTGTATCCTAAATTTGACGTCATGACGCAGGATTAGCGTATCAGAATGAAGCATGACCCCAGGATGGAGGACACAGGCTATTCTTACAAGACTTTGATATAAGACAGCTATGGAAAGATAGTTCAAATCCCAAGGCCACTAACCTTTGAGAAATGAAGAGAACATTTTTCTGGTAAATTAATTGGTTCCCATGTTTTGGAGGGGAGACAAATTATTTCAGGTGGCTAAAATATACTCTTTTCCCCCTCGTAACTCTGGCAATCAAGGAGCAAATGCTACCAAAATCACAGGATTAATTGTTGTTGATGAGGGGAATACACACAGTTAAGGATTAATTTGTTCACCGGGGGCCTGCTGCTGGCACGGCCGCCTCCACCCTCCCTCTGCTGGGCTTCAGGGAGACGAATCCACCGCTACCTGATTGAAAACCATCCGATGTTACAAATTATGAGTGTTTACAGGAAATATACAGTCTCAGAATTGGATGTAAAAACAACATTTTATCCCAGACAATAATAAAATCCAAAAATAAAGAAGAGAAGCAGGAAACGCCCTGCTGTCCTCCTGAATCCTCATTCTTGAGAGAATATTCCAACAAAACCCCAAACCAACAGGCTCCTTTCGTCAATAAAGTAAAGACGCAGAAAGTTCAAAGTAAAGTGTTGACAATGAACACAGAATATTTCTAAAATTTGAGAAAATGAATCCAGGAAGTCGCAGATCTTCATAAACGATCCTCTCCGATGGACGACTAGGAGGAGAATGAAATGCGCATGCGTGATCTGCGTTGATCTGATGGAAGAGAAACTGAGTTTTTACGACCTGCTGCTGTTACAAAGATCAGACATCAGCAATACTGCAGATATTCATGCTCAGCAATGAGAAGCTCTGAGTTTCAGCTTTTAGTTTTTTATTGTTGCAAACATTCAGCTGCATGTTGATGCATCAATCACCAAATCTCACAGTAACACTTGCTTCCTTGGTTCCTTTCAGTATTATTATTATTATATTATTATTATTATTATTATATTATTATTATTATTATTATTATATTATTATTATTATTATTATTATTATTATTATCATTATTATTACTGCAGCTCTGGACCGAATCTATTTATCATTTATAGAAATAATAATATTTTAGGAAATCCAGCTGAGACAGAAAAACTGGATCCAGAGTTCTGATGCGTTTCCATTACAAATGCATAAATATTCTGCTAACGTCGAAAAAACACAATTCTGCAATTTCCATGTTTTAATTAAATAAACTAAATTAATATCACATGTGAAGAAGCTGATTCATGTGACAAGTCTTTAGAAACGTGTCAGATTGTTACTCGACTCGTTGAGACTCAGATTTTAACAGTAATTAGTCTCTTCATGAGGACCAAACAAGAAAACAAACAAATGAGCAAGACAGGCAAGGACCAGTCTGCAGTCGGAGCGTGGCTGCTTAGGCAGGGCCCCGGGGCCCAGACGCCCATCGGACCCAGAGGCCCCGGGGCCCCATGGGCCTCTGGGCCCCGGGGCCTCCTGAGCTGCTCTGTATTGTGCATCAGGACAAAGAACAATTTTCTATCATCTATCTTTTATAACCGCAGAGTTTTTCTCCGGATGCGGGAAATAGTCGGTGATTTTAGAAACGTGTCAGATTGTTACTCGACTCGTTGAGACACAGATTTGAGACACTAATGTTTAAAGAACATTTATGGGTTGGAGTGTCACACAACCTCTTCTGAAGTGAAAAAATTGAGCAGAATCAGCCTGGACTTGCCCCTCTCCGCGATCTGCCAAATGTAAATGCAGATTACCTCCGGAATGAATCAGCTGCGCCCCAACACAGCTTCTTCCTTATATGGGCAAACGGAAGAGTGCATAATAGACTTAGACTTCCTTTATTGTCATTGTACAAAAAAAAAAAAAAAAAAAAAAAAAAAAAAACCACAAGGTGAATCTTGACAACGAAATGTCGTTACTTGGCTACCAGTGTAGCAGAGCTAAAACCTTAAACTACACAATAATAAAAACCAGTGCCATAGAATCCACAGGTTCAGTGTTGTAAACAGACATGATGCCCCGGCTATATAAGTATTTAATTTGAAAGCTAAATAATTACAAATATTTCTTGTGAATTAAATATTAGTTTGGGATTCTGACATGTATAAATGTATATGTGGTGAAAATGTGATTGATAAATTAACACCCACGTTTTTGTCTGACAGGCAAAATCAACGAAATTGCTTCTTTTTTACTGTGTAACTTTATGAATAACACAGTTTATGTTCTGACTCATGATTTGAACCCATGTCGGAGGAAAGTTTGGACATTAGAGTCGTGGTTCTGCTGATGGGAGGTTTTCTGGACCAGGAAGAACCAGAAGCTCCACCTGCAGCTTCATGAATGAATGAATGTTTTTCTCTAGTGTGACGCGTGAGTCACGTGGCCGCAGGTGGGCGTTTCCTCTGAGTTCACTGCCTGTTGAAGCGTCTCGGGGCCGGTACCGGTTCCGAGGCCGGGTTTCTGCGCAGCATGGACCGGATCTGCAGGCTGCTGGCGCTGACGGGTGAGTTTATGATCGAGTCCAAATCATTCCGGATCATTATTGATGATCGAACTTTTCATTAATACAGTAAATGATTTGATCTGTTAATTATTGCCAGCTGAGTGAAGATGCCCCCCTCAGCTGCGTTTGTGCAGCAAAAATGTTCATTTGTGCTGCTTTGGCAGTTAAGTCCTGCAGCATTAACTCTGGTGACAGTTCCCTGCTGAGATGAACTGACTGTAGCTTCATCGCTGCAGGAAGAATCAGGAAACAGCAGCAGCAGCAATCAGGCTCCACTGAGTGGTTGAGTAGTTTTACACCAAATCTGTCAGCCACACGCCAAAAACTCACCGGAGGAGAAACTTTGTGTAACTGAGACTGTAGTGACACAAACAGGGTTGAGTCAGAGTGGCTGGGGCTTTTCACAACAGCAAGAAATGAGATTTCAGCCTTTAAATTCACCTCTCATCTCGCAGCACACGCAGATTTTGCTGATATTGTAACCACATGCTTGAGATTTCATCTTATCTGGTCTAGTTTCAGTTCAGCAAATGAGTTAAAAACTGGCCACTAAAACCAAAAAACTGATTGTTTAATCGTATCAGACGCACATGTTGTAACGCTGTTTACACTCACACTCACCTGTATTCCTTCTTCACCTGTATTCCTTCTTCACCTGTATTCCTTCTTCACCTGTATTCCTTCTTCACCTGTATTCCTTGGGTCTGCAGACTGCAGTGAAAACATGTCCCGGTTCCCCTGATTAGCCGATCCGGGCCTGATGAACCTTCTCCTCCCAAAATGACCCAGAGAATCCATCAATGACAAAAACCCAGAACAACATCCAAACCTGATCTGTTTCCTGTTTGGAGACAGAGACTGCTGGCTAGCACATTGCTATGCTACCTTGTTAGCGCGGAAGCTGTTCCTGATCTCAGTATAAACAGCTGATTGTTTCTGCCTTACAGCTGTTTTATCAGCTGTGCCATGATGGTATATACATCATTCATTTCAGAGATAAAACTGTAACTGCCACACCACCCAAAACTACAATCAGGCATATCATTATGACCACTTCGCTGATACTGTGCTAGCTTGTTGACTCCCTCTTTGATATCTAAGCATTCCTGACTTTCTGAGTCAATTTTCTTTTCATTTATTTCAGGTTTGGTGCAGCTGCTGCTTCCTGCAGCTGCTGCAGACCTTTCACTTCTAAACTGCAGCGTCAGTCGACTTTCAGCCCGTTTCTTCAGGTACCAGCTGTCCCAGTGGACCGCCCCAGATGACTGCGACACACAGTGGACAGACCATGATGTAAGTAAAAGGAGAGACAAGACAATGAGATGAGATGTACTTTACTGCAGAAAATAAAGTGATGATGTGATAAACTTCATCTTGCAGAAGGTTGTGATTGCCCAGGGTTCTTCAGTCAATGAAAGCCTGGTGGAGAATGTGACTGTCAACCACATCGACCTGAAGACCTGCTACCCTCACCTGAGACACATCACCATGTGTCTGAAAGTGAAACAAACTTCACCATCAGAGAATAAAGTAGGAAGAGAAACAAGTGTTAAAGAAAATGTTAAATAAGCAGTTTTAGCATCAATCTGTGTACAGATTTAAATGATGCATTGGATTAAATTTCATTGTTTCCTTCCTTCAGTTTGATCGGACTGTTGACTGCAGAGGTGAGAGCTGACTGTTTCCACAGAAACATGTTTCTGTCAACATGTTGGCTTTTCTTCAGCTCATCAGCGTATTTCCTGTTGTGTTGCAGTGAACTGCAGCGTCTTGCTGCTCGATGGTGTTCCTGCACCAGGCAGTAAGCGCTCTGAGCTTCATTCACTCATACCAAGTTGTGGTTGTAGATACTTTCTCATTTTTAACTTCTCTGATGAGCACATCAGTTCAGAAAATGTTCAGTTTTGGACAGTATTTCATTTGTTGTCACTTTCCACATGCAACACCTTCTACTCACAGATCTGACACATCTGAGTATTGGTAAATTTTGTTTCATTAATTGTTCTCGGTGCATAATATCCACAATGTGTTTTGCCCAAAAAACATTTTCATGTCTTAATTTTTTGCCTAAAAAGTTTGTTGATATCTCCTCCAAATGTCAACACAAAAATATAAATTAAATTAATCCTAACGGACTAATCATTAACATTAGCTCTGCTAATGCTAAAGCAGAAGCTAATGCTAACGTGCTAAATTAAACCATGTTTACGTGTCACATTAAACCTGCACAGTTTGCACTGCAGGAAGTGATACTTTGAGGCAAAAGTTTAACTCACTGTTTCAGTTTTATGATTGTTGAACATTGCTAACTTTGGTGCTAAGTCTGATGCTAACTTTATTGTTCACTCTGATGCTAACTTTGTTGCTAACTCTTATGCGAGCTTTGCTGCTAACTTTGTTGCTAACTCTGATGCTAACTTTGCTGCTAACTTTGTTGCTAACTCTGATGCTAGCTTTGCTGCTAACTTTGTTGCTAACTCTGATGCTAACTTTGTTGCTAACTCTGATGCTAGCTTTGCTGCTAACTTTGTTGCTAACTCTGATGCTAGCTTTGCTGCTAACTTTGTTGCTAACTCTGATGCTAGCTTTGCTGCTAACTTTGTTGCTAACTCTGATGCTCATTTTGCCAACTTGACTGCAGCAGGACTTTCTGAAAACACGCAGTAGATTTTGAACTACAGTCAGAGCTGATGTTTAAAATTAATTCAACTGACAAAACAAAATGAGCAACGACAGTAAAGCACTAAATGAAGAATTAGCTCTACTGTTAGTGGATTAGCAGAAACATTAGATATTATTGCCTTGATTAAAGTCCAAATCAGACAAGTGTATCATTCTTCACACTCAGCTCTGATGCTCAAACAAGACAGATTAGTT